ACTAAGCTGTTTTATCTTATATGCTTTATCCTTATTAAAGTATCTACTAAAATATGATATTAAATCTCCAGAAGAATTAATAACAACTCTTGCACTATAATTTATATCTGCTCCCGGCGACAAAAACCGCATTGAATGCATTAAATCACATTTCTCAGAAGCAAATGTACGTGCCGGAAATAGTGGCCCATTTGTGCGTATACACAAACCATCTCCTATTTCTTTGTTATGTAAATCCTCATATGTACTTATCCCTACTCTACAGCATATTCTACATAAAGCAACTATTCCAATAATTATAATAAGTTCTTTTCTTATAAGCATATCTTTATTATTAAAAGTAGAAAATATTTAAATATTCTTAAAATAAATCTGTAAATAAAAATAATTTCTTGATAATGAAGAAGTTTACTTTTTTATAAAAATATATTATTTATTGGTTATTCATAGACTAATAAATGTCAATAAATATATTTATAGCAATATTGCCATCTAATTAGACAATATAACAGACAAATGACAGTTAGTACATTGACAGGATCATAAACAACAAATGGAATTATTGCATATTTGGGTACTTAATAAATGTCTGGATTTAGTTATAATAGACAATGATTATATTTATAAAGAGGGCAGTGTATATAATTGGATTTGTATGATATTCTGTGCTGCCTGTTGTAGTATAGACTAATATTTTATTTTGATGTATTTCTGTATTTTATGATGGTATAAGACTGGGCTTCTTATATGAAAATGTTTTATTAATTTTTATATGGACACAGTCGTAGTTGTGTTTGAAAGACCTTCTTCAGTATCGTTAAAAAGTCTGTCTGAGCAAGCTAGAACACTCTTATTTCCCCTCCGGATATTTCCTGTGCAGATGGAAAATGGAAGAATTATAAAGAGATGGGCACTTACCAAATCAGATAAAGAGTATGCATTCGTTGAAAAGGAAGAAAGATGCGAAGTATTAAAGAGTTTTGTTGAACAGCTCAGAACAAGTGCGTGTATAGTTCTGGTGGATATGCAAAGTGACCTGCAGAAGAAGTGGTACTTCTGTATTAATACACAGGAGAGTGCTCTGGCAGTGTATATGAATAGTATAGAGCTGGACAGGTATAAAGTAGAGAATACTATTTCTGGTGTTATAGAGGCATCTAATATATTTTTTAAAAGAATTACTATTTCGCTTATAGGAATACGTATACGAAATAAAAGTGGAAAAAAAGAAAGCATTGATATTCCAATAGGTGTGGATAAGATTGAATATCCAATACCAACAGAAATGACAATGATACAGCACCAGCCCACAGGAATTCTTATACACTCCCGGCCTGCTGCATTAGGAAGTGGACTCCTTATGAAGATTCTTTCAAAGAATGAACTGTTCTTCTCTGCGTATAAACCAGGAGTATTCCTTAAACTGCATTTAGTACAAGACAGACCAGTTGCAGATATTTTTAGACTGCCTGAAGCAATTACACTCTTAGATTCATCCTTACCTTTTATGAAGAAGTACCACTTGCAGGAATATTTACAGTATGTAATAAAGAAGTACGGAGAAGATATCCGCGCGCTTTCAACTATTTTCTCGGAAAAGCCAGAAAAAAGAGATTTAGAGTCTGCGCTAAGTGAAGAAATAAAAAGAATCCGCGTTATACAGCTTGACAGAAGAAATAGACTTCTGCAAGGAGTGAATGACCTTCTAAGCACACTATGTTTTAAAGAAAGCGATCCAAGGCATATTATTCTTGCAACTCTAAGTGTTATATATAACGAAATAGTTAAAAGACAGAAAATAGAAGGCGTAGATGGTCCCATGTACATTCACTTACCACCAAGTAAAATAGCACCGCCTTCTTCCCTGCACAGCCTTTTAAAAGAAATAGAAATGTAATTTATTCTATTCTGTTTAATAATATTAATATTTGGAATTCATGCAATAAAATTATCTGTTAATTTCATAGAATTCCGTTATATTTAATCCAGTAGTATTCTGGTCAGTTGTACAGAAATACTGGTTTATACAACCGATGATAATTTTTTTATGAAAATAATTTCAGTGGCAAGTGGAAAAGGCGGCGTGGGCAAGTCAACCATTGCATATCTCTTGGCAACACATGCAAGTAAAACAAAAAAAACACTTCTTCTAGATTTTGATATATGTGGGCCAAGTGTAGGTGTTCTTATGGGGCACACAACAGAAAAGGTTCTTATGCAAGAGAAGGGATTTAAGCCAATAGAAAAGACTCCTACACTCTTTTATCTAACAATTGCTGCAATGATACCAGCTAATTCTGCTGTTGTATGGAGAGCACCAAAAAAAATATCTTTATTAAAAATGTTCTTAGAGAGTGCATCATTAGAAGAATATGACTATTTAATTATAGACATGCCACCAGGTGTAACAGATGAACATGATTTTTTATGTGAACAAGTACCAGATGCAAATATACTTATTGTAACAACCTCACAGAATCTAGCACTGGATGAAGCAGCAGACTCTATAAAAATGTTCCAAAATAGAAATATGTATATTTTAGGTCTTATAGAGAATATGAGGCTACTTAAGTGCCCTAACTGCCATAATTGCACTGCAATATTTTCTAAACGAGGCGGAGAAATGCTGTGTGATGATTTAAACATTAGATATATAGGGCATGTTGACTACATACCAGAAATAGAAACAAATGATGTTATGAGTATATCAGAGATATTTTCTTCTGTTTTGTCTTATGTACAGTAGAATAAACAAGAATATTTAACGAACTCTTTGTTTTTAGCACAAAATATCTGAAATTTAATTTGGTTAGTTTCTATCCTATAGTAACATAGAATAAGAATGGAAGTTGTATCTTAGATATACAATATCGGCATGAAATGTGATAAGCAGATGTTTAAATCTATATAAATATAAGAATAATAAAAAATTAAAATAAGTATAACTAATGTACAGGAGCAAACCAATTCAATACACAATTAAATATAAAAATGAATGGCATTTTTAGTACTAGAAAACAGTTCAAATTTATAAATTTATTATAGGTATAGTACCAGGCCAAGTAAAAACATGTGCTAAGTCTATATTTATTAATTATTTATACCCAAAGTATAATAAGGCGATGTATGCAGTGTATCTATAATGAATTCTTAACAGAAATTCTGGTTTATGCAGTAATTAGATTGCTTACCAGATTTACATTAAATACTCTGAGAGTATGAATACGAACCATTTTGAATTTACACTGCTTCCCATTATAATAAGACAATTGAAGATAGAGTACATTTGTTTTTATGGATATTCGGGTTATAACTGATTTAACAGAAAACTTCTATTATGTAGAGAGGTGGAACAGCCAAATGTTCATAGCATTTAATAGGTCTGTGGTGTCAAATGATACAATGTTCTTAATCTCATCCCGCACACTGTTTATACTATTCACGAGTTCTTTTCTGTGGGAGAATTCCATCTGCCAAATAACTCGTGTTAATTTCTTAACAATACTGTGTGAGTTCTCTGCGTAATTCATGGCCCTATTATATACCAAGCGGCTGTACAGATAAAAATATATTTTGTGTGACATAGTTGCGGTTATGTCATTCTTTAGTATAGAAAAAGTGGTTTTTTCTTTTGACAAAAGTGCAGGCGGCAGTTTTCGAATGACTCTTGGTGCAAGGGTCACTTGTTTTACTTTCTGCTGCTTTGAAATAGCCGATATCATCTGTTCTATTTCAAAAAGTAGGTTTATAACATATGCATACAAAATCTCATTGTTTTTTGCATTGGTATCCTTACACGAACTGTTCTCCTCATAGTTTCTAAGCACAATATAATTCTCCAGACTAAATACCTTATTTCTCTCTGAAAGCACTTCTACATTCCGTGTGAAATGGTTTAAGTTGTATACGTACGCATATATAACAGACAAAAGAAGAATGTACACAGAAATACTGTCAAGTGCCCAACTAAATGCCTGTGTAAAAGAATTCCACGACATATCTGAAAATACCCAGGCATGTATCATAGTGCACACAAAAATACTAGTCATTCTGTCCGTCTTTATCTTTCCAACGATGTGACGAATAAGCCCGTATTTACTCTGAGATAAATCAATCTTTACAATGTCTCTGTATACAAGGCCTGAAATAAGAACTGACTGGATAAAAATACTTCCAACAAGTTTCTGTGCACAGGAAATATTTATACCCCCAGCATTCCCCATATACACTCCCATTAGTCCGCATGTAATTATAAACTGGCAAAGAAATATTCCAATGTGATTTATCTGATTCTTTGTCCATAGCCGAATTAGCATATAGTGAAAATACGTAAACATGCTTATAAATAACAGAAGGCTGCAATTTACATCAATTATGTTAATGGGTTTCTTCACAATTATCCATAAAAAATGAACCAGTCCATCGGTTCTCCACATATGAACAACTGATGAAATATATCCTAGAGCCAGAATTATTCCTCCTGTCACGCAATTACTCAGTTTTTTACTACTCTCATACGTCTTCCTCATAGCTAAAATTGGTTTAAAGATTTTTTTATAAACTTCTCTATTTACATATGAATACTACCGCAACCAAGGCATGTACACACTGTAACCATAGACTAGCGCATACCACAAAAATATCTGAAGGCAGTGATAATCACAGGCACACTCTCTGCCCTAAATGCACAAACATTGCAGATGAATATGCACTATCACAGCGTAAGTTACCTGGTGACCTTCTTTTATTTAAGCAAGAAGCCTTCTCTCATTTAGTTTTTAATGCAGGATACTTTAAAATGAAAAATACGTTATTCATAAGATTAGTTATATTTCTTATAAACACACTTGACAGAATTCACAACACTCCTTCTGTGGCAGAAATATTCAAAGCAATTATTCCCCAAATACTAGAATTAGCAATTGTTTCAGTATTTTTACACAGGGTTTTAAACTACAGGAAAATACTTCACATTACAACAGTATTCTCCACTCTTTCCATCCTCAAAATATTTCTGTGCCTCTCTAATCTGCCAATATCCAATACATATTACCAAATGTGTAATATTTTAATAGTTCTAATGACATCCAAAGCATTTTCTACATATCTCATTTGGAGTAATAGGACCATTCTAACAATAATTGTTATTGCAAGGGTGTTTGCTTTTTCTCTTTTTTACACAGAAATACAAATTTAATTTCTGTTTCAAAATTTTTATGGATGACTCAACTCTTATAGAAACATCCGCAGTGGTGCTTTTTGTGTTTACTCTTCTGTTCTCATACGCGTATAAAGTTATTATTCCATATATGAAAGGGTATACTTATATAAAGTGCTTAACTGGTGGGTTTATAATAGGGATTATACTCATAGAAGTACTACCAGATATATATAAGACAGAGAGTAAGATACCAATCATTGCAACTGGTCTCTCATTCTTCCTTTTATTTGCAATAAGTAAGTTATACATAGAACGGGTAGATGCGGTAGAGCAGGATTCCATACCAGACGGAGCAAGCAAGCAAGAAGCACTTGTGTTTATTTTAGCATTAAGTTTGCACTCGTTCATGGAGGGACTGGGGGTTTCAAGCAAGAAGGGATCTCAGCTAGTTTTGTACATTATAAGTATATTAGTGCATAAATGGCTAGAGGCAATTGTATTGGGTGCTTCTGTTCTTACCTCTAAACTTTCCAGTTCTGTGTGTTTTACTTTAATATTAATATACTCCTCACTCACATCGATTGGTTCACTTATAGGAAGATCAGTATCCACGGACAGCACCAATAGCACACTTACACTAATACTGAATGGTGTGGCTGCAGGGAGCTTTTTCTATATTGGATTTGTAGAGATGGTTGGAAACGAATTTGAAACATCATCAGGAAAATTAACTCGTAGAAAGACATTCAAGAAGATCCTTTCAATGTTCATTGGTTTCTCTTTCATCACATCAGTAATACTTGGCGCGCATGCAATCGAGGGGCACGGTAGTTAAATAAAAGAAAAAATTTATTCTCACATGGAAAGTGGTGGACCAACGTATATGGCATTAACTATATTTGCTGTGTCATTCATTCCTAGCTTATCGCCGTATGCTCTTCTTTCATCTAAAAGACTTAAGAATATGTATGATAAGGCTAGTATAGTCTCGGCAGGGCTTCTTTTAGCTATTTTATTCATTGACTTTATGCCGCATTTAGTTGAAGGGGGCTGCGGCCATTCGCACGGACACGAGCATTCACACGCAATTAGTAATGTACCGGTGAAACCCCAGACATCTGGTCATAGCACAGCACATGAAGCAGTGAGTGGTGCAGCCGCATTAAACAATGTGATGCACGACCATTCACATGGGCATAGTCGCTCACATGAGCACACCGGCCAGACAGAGCACAGTCATTCATATGAGCACACTGACCAGACAGAGCACAGTCACTCACACGAGCACGGATCAGCTCAGTCAAGAATAGGACTCATTCTTGCAGGACTGACTCTAGTGGGTCTGATCATTATTGACCAGAAGGTAATAAAGCATTCACATTGTGACAATGAGAAGAGCATGGAAAAAATCAAGGCAGATGAATCAACTACACATGAGCATGGGCATGGTCACTCACACGGCCACAGTCATTCACATGGGCACAGCCATGCAGTAGAAGTAAACAGATTTGTGGATGAAGATTCTCATGCGAATAAGCTCGCTTCAAAGAAATCATCAGAAATCAAAGGATGTTGTACAGAAGGATTAAAATATAAAACCACGATAAAACAGGCACTTATATTTATATTCATTTTCTCTATTCACTCAATATTTGAAGGATTTGCATTTACTTCTGGGCAGGCAGGGCAGTCTACACTGTTCATAGGCCTTGCAGTGCACAAAGTGCTTGAGTCAGTTACTGTGGGAGTTGCTTTGTTTTCTTCTCAATTTAAGAAACCCGTGGTTGTTGGCCTATTATTAGTCTACTCCTCACTTACCCCAATTGGAATGCTTTCTGCATACTTTATCTCAAACATTTTCAGTGGTGGGCTCATAAAGAGTATATTTACAGGCATCTCCTTTGGTAGTTTGTCATTTATTGTGCTGGTAGAAATGCTGCCACCAATTGTTCACTCTCTAACCAATGGAATGAAAATATTCTACCTTTTATGTGGATATTTAGTAGGGGCAGGACTTATTTGTCTGGCACATTCCCATTAGAATTTCTGGCTATATCAAGTATGTACACAAATTTTCGGGTTATATTTGAATATATGAAATAATTCAAAATAGAAAGTGTGCGAATATTATTATTTAGAGGAGACATTTGCCTTTACATAAATAAATAAACTTGATATTTTAGACATTCGGGTTATATCGGGTTATTTTAAATTCATAAATATTACGAGCATAGTAAGCATAAAGGGTCTGCTTGGAGTGTGTGTAAGTAAAAGGAAGGTATTCCATCACCAGAGTATATAAGAAAATTACCATCTGGTACTTTATGAATAATTCTAACAACAATATTTGCCATAATAAATGATGTAATTGGTGTATTTGGCTCTATTTCCAAGTACTTTTCAATGGATTTAACGTATTCACTGTCTATTATTTCATTTCCTACTGTATTATACGTGTTATTATATATTTTAGCAGTTTCTGTGTATTCGTCTGTACACCACACAGAATTATCACTTAATACTCCCCTTAGAATATTCATAATAACCAATGGTTTTGTTTCTTCTGTTATCTCTTGAGGCGTATTATTCCTTATACTGCATAAAGGTACTGGTGTATTCGGGTTGGGAAATAACCATTTAATACAGTAAATACACGGTTTATCTATTACTCCTTTACTAAAAAAACAGTGTCCTTTAAACCTTTCTGTTCCTGTGTCTATGTACATTTTCTTAGGATTGAATGATTCCTGTACTACGTAATAATAAAAATTAACTCTACTCTCATACGTGTCAAGTGCTGATATGTACAAGTCACAGTGTAATACATCCTGTGGTATACTTATAGGGTTATTTATATCTATAATATACGTATGTATAATGCCTTTATACTTCTTATTTAAAAGTCTTTCCTTTGTTGCACATACTTTATACTTTCCTATGTCACTCTCTGTGTACAGTTGGTTTGCTGTATTACATAATTCTACTGTGTCAATATCAATAAGAAAAATATGACTAAGACTAACCCCACTCTTTTCTGTTAAACTGTTTATAATGGCTGTCCCCAGCCCTCCCAATCCTATAAGACATAATTTCATTTATTTACTTTACAGGAAATTCTGCAAATGTTTTATTTTTAATAAAACCAATGTACGGGAAGTATGTTGCTTTTAAAATGAACTTTCCCCTGCTCAGTGGCTTATTTGCATCATTTGACCGTCCCATGCACTCATTAATTAATACACAATCATTCTTCTTTTTTGCCAATGTACTCCATACGATTTGTTCTACTTCTACATTATTAACGTGTGTTTTATGCACGAGGTATACGAAGACCTCCTTTACATTATAATTAACTGTACTGGTTATGTCCACATTTGGTGTGAATTTTATGTACGCAGGTTCTGCAACATGAAGTGTGGGTGTACACTGTGGTGTATCTCTGTTTAATATAAATGTACTAATAAATATAGCCATGACTAAAACCCCTGTGTATGATGAAATAAGAGAAATAACCTTTCCTAGTCTTTTTGCTGAGGTATTCATCCCGTTGTAATAAAATATTCAAAATTAATTATAAGAAATACTTTACATAAAATTATAAATAATAGCTTATTACAGATACAATATTATATAATAGTATATAATAATATATAGTAGTATATGTATAAATAATAAACCATTGTGTAATAAATTTAGGTTATACTCAATACTTAGTGGTAATTGGTTAGTATATTATATATATAATAATTATATATCATTATTTTAAAAGCAATTATTAGTATATTCTGTACTAGTCCATATTTTATTACTCATTATGTATTTAATACTGGCTTATTTTACATTATTTATTACTCATTATGTATTTAATACTGGCTTATTTTACATTATTTATTACTCATTATGTATTTAATACTGTTAATTATTACACAGTGTATATTATATCCTATGACTTTATACTGGCTTATAATGTAAGGCATAAATAATATTTTATTATAATTCGGGTTATTCGGGCTATGGGTGGGTGTGCATGTTCGAGACTGATTTACTAATGTGTGAGCACATGCAGTGATCATGATAAGATAAACGGCCTATATAAGGATAAGTATATCAAATTCAGACTAGTAGGACATAATTAAACAAATCATATAACTATAGGACAGTTCAGTACATGGTCTAGTACTATTATGACTATGTGTACATCCTTATACTATAATGATCATAATAAAGGACATATCACTATCTGTATTTAGACTGTATTATCTGGGCGGTGGTGGCGTGACTCCTTGTGAGTACGTCAATATTATTATAATGAATTACGACTAGCTCACAGAATATAAATAATTTATATAACCCGATGTAACCCGAATTTATTATAATAAAGCACTAATTCCCGGTTGAACCAAATCCACCACTGGATCTATCAGTTGTGCTTACTTCAGTTACAAGGATTGGCTGCTCTGTGAATATTTTTATAATAACCATCTGAGCAATTCTGTCTCCTTTTAAGTACTTAAATGGCTCATTACCACTGTTATATAAAAGTACTGCTAATTCCCCTCTATAATCAGAGTCAATCACTCCTGCCATTGACATAATCCCATACTTAAAGGAAAGACTTGACCTAGAACATATCTGGCCATAATACCCCTCAGGTATTTCTATTGAGCAGCCAAGATCTATTTTTTGTCTAGTGCCTGGTTCTATCACTCCATCTTTCATTGCGTATAAGTCGTACCCTGCACTAGCACTTGTGGCTATCCTTGGGCAGGCCGCATTATCATTTAACAGTTTTACTTTGAATTCTTTCCTTTCCTTTGTCATTAAAAGAATAAAAAAGTAAAGAATGCATTTATTCTCTGGACTTATTGCACAATGCATTATATATTTTAGAAGTATAAAAATCCCAGATATATTTATGACTAATTCTGAGTAAGCATAAATATATAACACATTATGTAATAAGTACACCCATCATAACCAATCATCTTGATTGATTTTCGCAATAACCCGACATAACCCGAAATAAAATTCATAAAAAAATAAACCAGCAAAAATAAAAAAATTCAAAAATCCTCAAAATTCTCTAAAATTTATTCCCAACGGTTAATGAATACCTAAAATTCCCTTCAATTTTATCACAGTTAACCAATCTTCCTTGGTTAAAGCATCTTTAAAACTCTCCTTTAAAAAATCTATTGATTCTCGTGTAAGCCTACTTATAATCTGATCAGTTTCAAATAACTTCCTACCAACAATTATTGGCTGCTGGTTACCCGTCACCTCAACTTTAATTGACGCCTTGCTCCCCACACGTATTTTATCATTCTTTGGATTTGTTTTTGTATCTTCCAGGATACTTGTGACCTGCCCGATCCTTGTAATTTCCCCATCTCTTACCACAGCCAGGGGTGTCCCTATACGAAGTATTCCCTGTTGTACTTTTACTCCCAGCACGAGAGGTGACCGCTTTGTAAATATACACCCTGGTACGATTGTTAGTATACATGGGAATATGACTTTATCTTTCAACTGTTCTTCTGCTAATGCCCATTGTTCTTCCATGTGCTTCTTGTACTTTTCCGTTAAATGGTAGATTATTTCAGCAGTTAAGAATTTCACTTTCATTTCCTTACCAAGAGCCTGCATCTCCTGTGATGGGGCCACATCAAAGCACAGCATAACAGAATATTCTGGATGCCTCTCAGAAATTGTAGATACTTTTATGACATCTTTCTTTGAAATATTCCCCACACCAACTGTCCTTATGGGAATATTTGCCTTCTTTAAGATGGAAATTAATGCTTCAAGTGCTCCAAGCGTGCTTGCCTGTGCGTGTATGCCATCCTCACCGACCACATCAAAAATTGTTCCTGATGTGGTTTGTTTATCCCCAGATATAAATGCTTGAATTGTCTCTCTGATTTGTTCGTCTGCTTCTTCTATGATTCTGTCTGTATCTGAGTCATTCTTTACAACGACTACTTTACTCCCTGCAAGTACTCCTTCTAATTTATGTGCTGATATTCTCACACCAATTGCTGCTTTTACTGATTTATTCTCTCTGTACTTTGACTTAACCCGAGTCTCTTTCATTGGGTTCGGTGTTAGCAAGTGCCTGATCACCGTTTGTACTGCCCCATTCTGTGTGCACACTACGATTTTATCACCCACGTGAACTGTCCCATTTGATAGTATTACATCTATCGTGGCACCTTTCCCTTCTTCTGCTCTTGATTCAAGTACCATGCACTCAACAGCCTCTTCAAACTTAACCCTTTTTAATAAGTTCTTCTCTACTAAGTCTAATAACACCGATAGCATATCTGAAATACCTTCACCCGTTACAGCTGATGTAGGCACTATGTTCACATACGCTTTCGGGTTAGGGTTCTTTATGAATAATGCAGAATTAAGTCCAGTATTAGCCAACTCCAACACAATCTTCTCGTACCTGTCCTTAAATTCTAATTTAGCTGCTTTACTCTGTGACTTAATCGAAAATGGCGTATCTGATGATTTCCAGCCATTAATCCTGTCTATCTTGTTCAGTGCAATAATAAATGGAGTCTTCCTGCTTCTGAGTAGTTCTATGCTCTCCTTGGTTTGTAATTCTAGCCCATGCATTATATCAATTACCAGCACAACGATATTACACATTGAAGATCCCCTTGACCGTAAATTAGAGAATGCTTCATGCCCTGGTGTATCTATGACTAAGAGTCCTGGTAATTTTTCTGATGTAATATTGTACTTCTTCATTAGTTCTTTTATTGGTATGTATGTTGCCCCTATTTGCTGTGTTATACCACCTGCTTCTGCTAATTGTACGTCTGTTTCTCTGATTTTATCTAGAATTTTAGTCTTACCCGTATCTGCATGTCCTAGGATACAGCAAATGGGACTTCTGTAATCTGTCTCCATTTCCTTCTCTGTTTCTATTTTTACTTCTTTCTTTACCTTTTGGACTGGTCTTTGCATTGTTAGTCTTTCTAATTTACTTGCTAGAACCTTCTGCTGTTCCAGTGCATGATCATATTCTGTGCTTACTTCTTCCTGTACATCCTGTGATAATTCTTCTGATACTTCTTCTTGTACTTCTTCTGTGTACTCATTGTTCATTTCTGTGTACATGTCGTACATATCTTCTATATCTTCATATCCTTTCTTTCCTCCTTTCTTTTTTGCCATTATTTCTTTCTTGTTTTAAATTTATTTATACTACATAGGATTTAAAATAATAAAATTATTACACAATGTCCATAAAAAACTGAAAATATCCAGGATTATTTACACAATGTGTAATTAATTTATGCATAAAATTATTCACTCACTTTATTTATACAGAATAATGTGCTCTACGTGTATTTTCTATATGTATAGTGTTAATTATGAACATCGCAGTGAATTACCTTAAATTTACTCGTAACTACAGTAATATCAGCACGTACCACTAAATATAAAATATAAAATATTTCTTTTTACTATATGTGTAATATATCCCGCACGTATACTGAAATATATTACACAATTACTCATTAATAATTTATATATTACTCAGAGGATAATAAGTCTTCTATAGATGGAAGAGGTTTCTTAGAACCTATTGAATTCCGTTTATTTTCAATAATTCCGACCTGATCCAATTTATCTTCATGCATTTTTACGCCCTTTTCCGTTACGTCTGCTATATTACTCGGTATATTTATAGTGCCCTGTACAGTGAATGGGTGCGACCCAGGCCTGATTAAGTCCGATTCATTTATGGGACAGTTCTTCTTCTTTACTTGTTTAATGTGCCGTATGTAATTCTTATCATTACAACAGGAACCGAGTGCTTTCCCGAACTGTTTCAGGGTCCTTTTGATTGCGTCAGTCACTGCCGATTTATATGCCTGTTTTATTGCCTTTCCCTTCCCGTTCACTCTCTCAGCCACTCCGAATCCGATGTCTTCCCTGAATATTCCACTGACGAGTGTAATTCGTACGTGTGCTTTAGCAGCGACTGTCGATCTTCCATCGTGTGTATCTTCTGTGCTAACCGTATTGACATCTATTATATGTGATGACCAACCATCGTATCCGAATATTCTATTTGCCATTTGTATTGCTGTCCATCCTTCAATGTATGGTTCTTCAGAATATCCCGTGTTCCTAAACGAGATGTATTCTGGTCCTAGGGGTCTTTCTAATTCTTTCTTAATATTAATATTATTACTCATTGTGTCATAAAAAATAAATTAATATTGTATATACAGCACATTGAATCAAAAGTATTGTACGGTATAATAA